TGGGGCACTGTTCCTCCCCTCACTGACACCAACGATGGGGCACTGTTCCTCCCCTCACTGACACCAACGATGGGGCACTATTCCTCCCCCCACTGACACCAACGATGGGGCACTGTTCCTCCCCCCACTGACACCAACGATGGGGCACTATTCCTCCCCCCCCCCACTCCTCCCCCCACACCAACGATGGGGCACTATTCCTCCCCCCACTGACACCAACGATGGGGCACTATTCCTCCCCCACTGACACCAACGATGGGGCACTATTCCTCCCCCCACTGACACCAACGATGGGGCACTATTCCTCCCCCCACTGACACCAACGATGGGGCACTATTCCTCCCCCCACTGACACCAACGATGGGGCACTATTCTCCCCCCACTGACACCAACGATGGGGCACTATTCCTCCCCCCACTGACACCAACGATGGGGCACTATTCCTCCCCCCACTGACACCAACGATGGGGCACTATTCCTCCCCCCACTGACACCAACGATGGGGCACTATTCCTCCCCCCACTGACACCAACGATGGGGCACTATTCCTCCCCCCACTGACACCAACGATGGGGCACTATTCCTCCCCCCACTGACACCAACGATGGGGCACTATTCCTCCCCCCACTGACACCAACGATGGGGCACTATTCCTCCCCCCACTGACACGAACGATGGGGCACTATTCCTCCCCCCACTGACACCAACGATGGGGCACTATATCCTCCCCCACTGACACCAACGATGGGGCACTATTTCCTTCCACTGACACCAACGATGGGGCACTATTTCCTTCCACTGACACCAACGATGGGGCACTATGCCTCCCACTGCAAAATTACAGTTATGGAGTAGCAACGAAAATAATTTTATGGTTGGGGGTCACCACAACATGAGGAACTGTATTAAGGGGTCGCGGCATTAGAAAGGTTGAGAACCACTGGTCTAGATGGATGGATTTTGTTACAGTAAACACCATAAAAAAATATAAAGATACAGAAAAATATAATGAAAGGATATTGAAATTGCAAACCATGATATAGGATTTTAAATTGTTGAAGTATGAGTAATAAAAACATTATATGCATGCACAGTTGTCCTGCTGATCTATTGTACACGTTAATGACCAAAAACTTTCCATCTTCAACTGCAACTGATGTTCAGTGGTGCTTTTTGTAAGCCTTGCTAGGCTTGTCTACGTATGAGTTATTTTGCCTGGCACTTTCAAAAAGAACAATATGAATTTCCCTAATAGGGAAGAGAAAATTGATTCATATTCTAAATTCATCCAAGACAAAAACAACACTTGGCCAGTAATAAGTAATGTTTATTCCCACTACAGAAAGTAAAGTGTTTAAAGCTGAACTCCAAGCCAATATAAAAGAATCAAACTCATTCAATCATGGATTCAATAATAGATCATTTCATTTATATTTTTAAATGCAACTAGTGTAAGTATCTGAATTTGACTTGGCATTAGCCTCCTGCATACATATGTACAACAGAGCTCAAACACGGATACAGAAAGAAAATAATAGGGGCCATGGAGGTGCAGTGCATGGAAATAAAGTATGCTAATGTTGAGCAAGCTACCAGATGGAGAAAACAGAGTGCAGAGAGAGATGACTTCTTCAACCTGCTGCTTCTTCTTCACTGTTTAATCAACAGGCTGGGGACAGGGAATATGCAGTGCATTCCTTGAGCTGGGCTGTGTAAAGGGATTGTGTAATTCTCAGAATGGAATGGAAAAAGATTCAAATTCTTTGGGCAAATAAAAATTTCCTCATATATTTATCTGTGTATTTATATGTTCGCCTAGAGTTTACAATTCACATTTACTTACTTTTGAAAAGAAACAGTTATAAATATAAGTTACTTTTGGGCAGCAGCTGACCACTGTAAAAATATTTCCTGTGCAAAGCGTGAGGACACGGTGACAGTCAAAACCAAGGCCATTTTAGCATCCCTTTGCCTCACTAAATGCTAGGGTGGTAGCTAAACTAATATGGACAACGAAGCTGCAATCACACTAGAGCTGGGAGTCTTTACTCTGTTACTCAGTGTTTTGGTAGGTGTCTAAAGGTTTTTTATTTCATTATTTATTTTTATCCAATGTAAAGCTAGTTACACCTTTTTTCTGGGTTTTTCAGGCACTCCCTCTGATGTCTATTGAGGCGAAAAATAATAGAAGCTTGTAGCTTAAACGAAGCTGATTTACTTGTTCAAGCCACAAACTTCAAGCTTCAAGCAATTTGTGTGTGAATATGCGCAACTGAAAACCATAGAAGCTCTAAGCTACAAAACTTTCAGATGTGAATGGAGCCTATATGTTCCATTAATGGATGTGAATATTGATCACTAATAAAACAGTATGTAGAACCTAAATCTAAACCCTATTCAATCCGCACAACACACCCTAAAATAATGCAATAGTGTGCTCTAAATAGTTGCTGCTAAAACACTGTTAGTGATCTCACAACACCAGTACCAAAATAAAAACCAATAGAGCAACAAACTAATATCTCATATAAAAATTAAATCAAAAAACAATAATTAAAGTCAAATAAAAAAGTCTCTTATAACACTGCTGTGCAATGTGTATAAAATCAATCTTCTCAGTGCCAACCGTGCCACCACCATTAGGTGAAAAACCTGCTCACCTCACTTTATGACCTCATCAATAGGTCTTTATGTGCTAAACATATTGACACACTTGTGTACACCCTCTGTGGTATTCCTCCAGCTCCTCTTCCGGTACCGCCACAGTGTACACTCCTTCAGCTCATACTCTCATATAATATGTATTATGGAAAACAGAAAAGTGGAACTATAGTACTTTCTATTTATAAAACGATTCATTAGCACCCAGATTAAAAGCACTTACAAGATGTAAGAAACAAGCCAGCATATCATGTATATTTTGTTACATGACTCACCACCAAGCTCTCCTGGATGGTCATCAATTCAAAATGTCTAGGGCTCAGCTCCTTCCACCTATATGCATTACGCCCCAGATTGGGGCTTTCTCAGCTTTTAAATAACCCATGTATCCCTTCTCCCTATCCCAAGAAATGATATCACTTCCTGGCCACTGGAAGTGATGTCATCGACCATCTTGGATCACCTCCGAACTTGGAAGTGACCTTGGCCATCTTGGGACACCTCCGGGCTTGGAAGTGACATCGTCAACCATCTTGGGACACCTCCAGACCTGGAAGTGGGGAAGACTTGATCCCTCAAAGCTGGGGACACACTAAAAACCAAAAAAAGTTAAAAAAAAAATATATACAAAATATACAGTATAGTACTCTGATAGCCAACACTCACTCTTCCGAATGCCGTATCATCATATTACCAGAAAATATACACTATATTGCCAAAATTATTGGGACGCCTGCCTTTACTCGCACATGAACTTTAATGACATTCCAGTCTTAGTCCGTAGGGTTCAGTATTAAGTTGGCCCACCCTTTGAAGCTATAACAGCTTCAACTCTTCTGGGAAGGGTGTCCATAAGGTTTAGGAGTGTATCTATTGGAATGTTTGACCATTCTTCCAAAAGTGCACTTGTGAGGTCAGGCACTGATGTAGGACAAGAAGGTCTGCTCTAATCCCAAAGGTGTCTGGAAGTCTTTAGCTATTGAGTCTGCAGACAGTTGGCGACTTCTGTGCACTGTGCACTTCAGCATGCACTGACCCCTTTCTGTCACTTTGTGGCTGAGTTGCTGTTGTTCCCAGTTGCTTCCAATTTGTTATATTATCACTAACAGTTGGCAATGGAATATTTACTAGCTAGGAAATTTCACGGATGGACTTATTATACAGGTGGAAACCTATCACAGTACAACGGTTGAATTCACTGAGCTCCTGAGAGTGACTCATTCTTTCACAAATGTTTGTAGAAGCAGTCTGCACGCCTAGGTACTTGATTTTATACATCTGTGGCCATGAAGGTGATTGGAACACCTGAATCCAATGATTTTGAGGGGTGTCCCAATACTTTTGGCAATATAGTGTATTACATTACAAAAAGCATACTAATAATAAAAATTCAGTTCACTCAAAATATGACTTAATAACATAACACACTATTACTGATAAAACTGTTTAAATCAAATTCCGCATGTATTCCCAAAGGAGAAAAGACTTTTGTTTCATAAATCCAAAGAGATAAAGAGACTCTTTTTTACTTAATTGCCTATAGTAATTCCCATCTCTCCAATGTTTGACCACCTTTTCTATCCCCCCAAAACATAACTCTTTGGGGTCTTTATTGTGTATTGCCTAAAATGCCTCAAAACACTGTGTTCCTTTTTACCCTTTTTTATATTAATAAGATGCTCTCTAATCCTAACATAAAGAGACCTTTCCTTCCAACATACTGTAAACCCCAAGAGCAATCCATCATGTGCACAGCCCCCTATGTTGTACACATGATAAAATCGCTAATTTTATAGGTTTTACCTGTAGCAGTGGCTGTGGCTGAAAATTATTTTCTTCTTTTGTTGTTATGCACACTAGTCTTACACGCTTTACACCTACCACATGCATGAAAACCTTTTAATACTGGATAGAAGTTGTTATTATTATTATTATTATTGATGGGAGGACCCAAAACCCCAGGCACCAGCCTATTCCTTAATACTTGCACTTTCCTATACACAAATTTAGGCTGGGGAGTTGGAATCCCCCCAAGATCCAATCTCTCCGCAATATACCCCAATGTCTCTTTATAATGCTCTTAGTTAATCATTCCTGTTAAGACATCTTACCTCCTCTACATCTCTCCGTATATCTTCTTGACAATATCCTTTCTATTTAACTGCCTCCCGCCCGCCATATAGTATAATGACGGGCACAAGGTGGTTCTCTCATTCTGGGAGGACGTCATATGATGTCCTTCCACTCTAACCGCGCATGTACGGCTGTCCCTCGGCTGTCCCTCGGACACAGAGGATCACCGATCGATGTAAAGAGCCAAAGATGTCGGCTTGGTCATGTGATCAGCTGTGTCCAATCACAACTGATCACATGTAAATAGGGAAATGCCGGTTGTCGGCATTTCTCTCCTCACGAACTGTCACGCTGATAGCCTACCAGTGCACATCAATGCCACATATCAGTGCCCATCTGAGCTGTCTTTCAGTGTCACCTATCAATGCCAGTCAGTGCCACCTATCAATGCCAGTCACTGCCACCTATCAGTGCTGCCAGTCAGTGCCACCTATCAGTGCCAGTCAGTGCTGCCTATCAGTGCCAGTCAGTGCCGCCTATCAGTGCGCATCAGTGCCTCCTAACAGTGCCAGTCAGTGCCACCTAACAGTGCCGCCTATCAGTGCCGCCTATCAGTGCCAAATATGAGTGCTGCCTCTCAGTGCCCATCAGTGATGCCGGTCAGTGCCCATCAGTGCCACCTACTAGTGCCTCCTCATCAGTGCCACCTATCAGTGCCCATCAGTGCAGCCTATCAGTGCCCATCACTGCAGCCTCATTACGACCATCAGTGAAGGAGAAAAATCACTTATTTACAATAATGTTATAACAAAAACTAAGAAAATAACTTTTTTTTCAAAATTTTCAGTTGTTTTTGGTTTGTTTAGCAAAAATTAAAAAAAAACCAAGAGGTGATTAAATACCACCAAAAGAAAGCTCTATCTGTCTCAAAAAAAATGATAAAAATGTCATATGGGTACAGTGTTGCATGACCCGCGCAATTGTCATTCAAAATGCAATACCGCTGAAAGCTGAAAATTGGCCTGGACAGGAAGGGGATATAAGTGCCCTGTAGGCTAGTGGATAAACCTCTTTGTTAAAATTCAGATTGTTGTAAATAATCACTTTCTATGGTACAATTTCTCCATAAAGGGAAAAACTGCCCTACTGGAATGTTAAACAGCCACGATTTGTAGCGGCAGCTATCCAAAGGTTTAAAACTGTTACGGTCTATAGGTTTAAAATAAATTTTTGTAACCAACTGACCGTTATTAACTGAAGTTTCCAAATCTAAAAATGCTACTTTACTCTTATCATAGTGCCAAGCAGGGGCGGACTGACAACTCATGGGGCCCCCGTGCAATAGGGGATCATAGGGCCCCTGTGTCCTTGCCCAAACTCAAAAAAGCCTATGAAAAAGGTACCAGGGGCATCTCATAGGGCCAGGTACTGACCCCGGGCCCTCGGGCAGTGCCCGAGTTTCCAAATGGTCAGTCCGCCCCTGGTGCCAAGACAAAGAAATATTCCTATTATTTCTGTCTAATCTGTTCATGAATTCCTGGAGGCTCCACCCATCACTCTCCCAGAACAGATCATCTACAGTATACAGTGGATATAAAAAGTCTACACCCCCCTGTTAAAATGTCAGATTTTTGTGATGTAAAAAAATGAGACAAAGATAAATAATTTCAGAACTTTTTCCACCTTTATTGTAACCTATGAACTGTACAACTCAGTTGAACAACAAACTGAAATCTTTTAGGTGGAGGGAAGTAAAAATAAAAAACTAAAATAATATTTCTTGAAGCACCTTTTGATTTTATTACAGCACTCAGTCTTTTTGGTTATGAGTCTGTCAGCACATCTTGACTTAGCAATATTTGCCCACTCTTCCTTGCAAAACACTACAAATCTGCCACATTGTGAATACATCTCTTGTGCACAGCCCTCTTCAGATCACCCCACAGATTTTCGGTCGGATTCAGGTCTGGGCTCTGGCTGGGCCATTCCAAAACTTTAATCTTCTTCTGGTGAAGCCATTCCTTTGTTAATTTGGATGTATGCTTTGGGTCGTTGTCATGCTGAAAGATGAAGTTCCTCCTCATGTTCAGCTTTATAGCAAAAACCTGAAGGTTTTGTGGCAATATTGACTAGTATTTGGAACTGTTCATAATTCCCTCTACATTGATTAAGGCCCCAGTTCCAGTTGAAGAAAAACAGCCCTAAAGCATGATGCTGCCACCACCACTAAGCTTCATGGTGGGTACGGTGTTCTTTTGGTGATGTGCTGTATCTTTTGGAATTATGGCCAAAATTGTCAACCTTGGTTTCATCAGACCATAATACATTTTCCTACATGCTTTTGGGAGACTTCAAATGCGTTTTTTCCAAAATTTAGCAGGGCTTGGATGTTTTTCTTCCGAAGATAAGTCTTCCGTCTTGCCACTCTACCCCATAGCCCAGACATATGAAGAATACGGGAGATTGTTGTCACATGTACCACACAGCCAGTACTTGGCAGATATTCCTGCAACTCCTTTAATGTTGCTATAGGACTCTTGGCAGCCTGCCAGACCAGTTTTCTTTTCTTCTTTTCATCAATTTTGGAGGGACGTCCAGCTATTGGTAATGTAACTGTTGCGCCATATTTTTTCCACTTGATGATGGCTGTCTTCACTGCACGCCATGGTATATCTAATGCCTTGGAAATTCTTTTGTACCCTTCTCCTGACTGATACCTTTTAACAATGAGATCCCTCTGATGCTTCGGAAGCTCTCAGCGGACCATGGCCTTTGCTGTATGATGTGACTAAGAAAATTTCAGGAAAGTCCTACTAGAACAGCTGAATTTTATTTGGGGTTAATCAGAGGCACTTTAAATGATGGCAGATGTGTACTGACTCCTATTTAACATGATTTTGAATGTGATTGCTTAATTCTGAACACAGCTACAACCCCAGTTATAAGAGGGTGTGCACACTTATTCAACCACATTATTTTAGGGATAAGAAAAACAAAATGTGCACTATTGTTTCTGGGCTGTACTACGGGTAAAAAAAACAAACATCATACACATATTTGGTATCACTGCGAACATCAAGAGCTGGACAATGTATTTTTTGGGTTATTCTTTGGTGGTAGGTTATGGCAGTAAGAAGAAACACACAGCTAAATTTAAAAAATTTTTTTTTTTACTATTTGATATCCATTACCATTTACCACCAAATGAAAGTGCAATTTGTCCTTAAAAAAACAAGGTATAATTCACCTGGATGAACAAAGTAGATGTGATGATATGTACAGTTTTTTACTAACACATGTCAAAGTTGCAAAATTGTTCTTAGGCATTAAGATTTGTTTAACCCTTAGGCATGAAGGGCTTAATCATATTTAATATTCTTATACTTGAACCCCCACTTGTAAGATCACTGAAGCTATGAGCCAACAGGCTAGCCACTTCTTGCCTGCTCACCTGCAATGGACTGCAGACAGGTGTCCCCTGTGCTCAAAGTGATGTACCTGTACATCGCTGCCTAATTCCGAGTTTTGTGTGCGTGCATACACCCCAAACCACCCCCCCCCCCATAATGCTGGCACCCGCTGTGATTGTACAGAGTGGGAGCCTGTTAGCAAGTCATGATGAGAGCGTCAATCATGAATTAGAGCAGAGACTGCGAGCCAGGCCTTCTCATCTGACATCTTTGGGATATATTAGAGCGGACCTTCTTGTCCGAAATCAGTGCCTGACTTCACAAATGCACTTCTGGAAGAATGGTCAAACATTCCCATAGACACACTCCTAAACCTTGTGGACAGCCTTTACAGAAGAGTTGAAGCTGTTGTAGCTGAAAAGGGTGGACAAACTCTATATTGACTGGGATACCATTAAAGTTCATGTGAGCGTAAAGGCAGACGTCACAATACTTTTGGCAATATAGAGTACACTTGTTCAGATTTGTTTTTTTTTATCACACACCTGTAGCAGAATACATTTTGGCCAAAACTGAAGAGAAATTAAGAAATTAGATTTTTAAAAACAATTTTTATTGTATATGTTTTATAGCAGAAAGTAAAATATATATATATATTTTTTTTCAAAATGTTTGGTCAGTGCTGATCAAATACCACCAAAAGAAACCTCTATTTGTAATAAAAACATTATATAAATTTTGTTTGGGTACAGTGTTGTATGACTGCGCAATTACCAGGTAAAATAGCACAGTGCTAAATAGCATACAATGGCCTAGTCATAAAGGGGGTAAAATCTTCCAGAGCTCAAATGGCTAGATATGTGCAGTTCATTTCATTCCAAATCAAAATTTGGACAAAATTTTCATCATTTGGAGATTCTGATGTATCCGAATTTCCAAATGACAACAGCAACGAATTTCAAAATACAGTTTAATGAAACAAAGTTAATTGATTTAATTCAGATGCTTGAAGCATCCGAATGAAACAAATGATCATAAATTATTCAATAATAGCTGGTTGTCGAAGGATAAGATCACCTTTTGGATAAAAATAATAACTGCACATTGTTTGCAGGTAAAAAAATGTGTACTTATTATTTTTGTCCAAAGGAGCCTGGAAAGCATTGCACCAGCGATCAGTAGATCAATGATACCATGCAAGTCAAGTCTCCTGCAGACCTGTCAGAATATCTGCTTGCCATATGGGAAGTACAGTCAAGCAGATATACTGACAGGAAGCTTCAATGAACTAACATGGTGCTCCACAGTGCCATGGTAGTTCATTGAAAACTACAAGCCGACAGCTGCTAAGGCTGCTGGGACTTGTAGGCACTCATTCACAGAACTCTGGGAATGAGTGACGCAGCCGTGTGGGCGGAACCCCATACAGCTGCGCTATTTTCAAATCTGACAGATAGTACGGGGAGACGTTTCCCTGTGCTATCTGTCAGAGGGAGGGGGCGGTGGGAGCAGCTGCAGCTATGGGAACATGGTGGAAAAAACGGGTGGAATATGTAACATGTTCCAAAGGTGAACTTATTCTTTAAGGAGCTGGGAGGCAGCCTCATCTGCTGTCAGTGGGATTCCTGCTGTCAGCAGAATGTAAACAAAATAAATGCTGGTTTAAAAAAATGTTCTATTCCCCCCAATCCCTACCAGGTCAGTGGGAACTGGAGATTTCAGTTGCCTTGCTTTTTGTTTTTTTTTAATAAAAGACTTGTCAAAAACTGTGTTTGTATTTTTTTTATTTTTGACACTTTTTTTGTGAATGCAAGCATCATCGCAGTATATGTTTCTGAACTCGTGACTTACATGTGCATTACTGAGTGCAAAAGAAAAACAAAAAGAGTGGCTCTGAGGAAGAGGCTGAGTCTTTGAAACTCATTAGCCAGTTGGTCATCCAGGATCCATCGTTGTGGACTTAGATTCTTTATGGATTGAACACTTTTGTTCATTGTGATGTGCCTGTGTTTTATATGTCCATTGTGAGTATGATACCTACTTTTTTATTATATCATTAAATATTTTATACGATAATGCACTTGGCCGGTGCACCCTCTTTTTTTTTTTTCTTCTGCATTCAGTGACTTTGGACTACCCCGGTCCATTGAGGGCAGCAACCAGTGCATATTTCAGAGCATTTACATTGTCATCCAAGTCTCTGCTGAG